TAACATATTCTTCTAGGTCCTATATATACTCTACAAGTTATATGACTTTCATATGACTTTGTATGAGTTTTAGAGAGTTGGACAGTATTATAAACACAATATTCTTTGTATCTTTCTCCGTATTATTATTAAATTCTCCATTCCTCTAGGAATTATTCTTGTGCTCTTCTAGTGTTGTGATTGCTACTTCATATTGTGTCATGTAATCTCGTCTTTAATTCCTAACAATTGGTATCAGAGCTTAATGTTTGATTTGTTCGAGATTTTGTTCTTGTGATGGCATCTTTTGGATTGCGGCACTAGATTCTCATTGTAGCGGGTAAAGATGCGAGCAGTGCTCGCTCAGATGGAGATGGAGACTCTTTGTTGGGATTTGACAAGATACCCTCAAATTAGTCGATAGAGGAGAAACAATGTAAGGATCGAAATGTTTTATCACAGATTCATCTTCATATTTTGAATTATATTCTTCAAGACATTTTGAAAAAGAAAATTGTAGCTACATTATAGTTGAAGTTGGAACAATTATGCATGATGAAGAGTCTAACCAATAAATTGCATTCGAAATAACGATTGCATTCTCATTGTATGACATAAGGTACATTAACTTGTAGATTACCTAGCTGTCTTTAAAGAAATTGGTATTGATTTAGAAACCTCGGAGGTTAAGTATGATGAAGAGGATATGTTTGATTTTATTGTGTTTGTTGCTAGTTTCATATATTTCGTTTAGAGACACAATATTATAGAGTCGTGATACTCTCACCGTTGAAGAAATATACGATGTTTTGTTTTCAAAGGAAAAGATGAAGCATCTGTTGGATCTGAGGCTCAAGGAGAGTTCCTTGTTGTTCATGGTTGTGAGAGGAGCAGTTCGAAATCTAACTTCAGTAATAAAATTTGTAACTATTGAAAGAAGAAGGGCACATAAAGAAGGATTTCTATAAGTTGCAGAATAGAAAAAAATTGGTTGCAAATCAAAAGGGAAAGAAACCAGAAACTTCAAGTGAAACTGACATTGATGAAAATTGCTACAATAATGTATAACTTTTGATTATTTCTGACGGTGACTCCTAATCCTCGTTAGATTAGCTGATATTGGAAGGCTCAGAATTAAAATGTTTGATGGGATGGTCATAAAACTTGAAGAGGTGAGACACATTCTAGATTTAAAGAGAAATCTTATCTCCTTGAGTACTCTTGATTTAAAATAGTACAAGTACACTGAAGAATGGAAAGTCCTGAAGGTAAGTATAGGTACCCGTGTTGTATTGCAGGGATAGAGAAGGTCGCAGTTATATGTCTTGCAGGATTTTACAGAATCATTGGAGACCAATTAGTAGAAATTGAGTTCATTGGTGGATATTCAATTTGGTACAGTACCATTGGAGTTTGGTTTGGGGTCTACATCAGTGGAGCTCAGAAATTATGGGTAATGTCTCTTTGTTACCACCACCAGCGATATCATCGTATTCAATTGCTAGATATTGAACCAAGGTGAGATATTAGGCCTCCACAAACGTACATAGAAGCTGATTTAGTGACATACGCTTTAAGTGTGGTTGAAGGTATTGAGTCTAGCAAAGAACCTTCTATAGAAGCAGTTGCGGTGGTGATTCTGTTACAGGGTATGTTTCTGTCCTATTTGGTAATTTGTGAATTATTTGTTGCTCGTGGTGATAATTCAAGCAACTTTGGCACCCAAGGTGATTCTGCCAAACATTGCTTAGTTTTAGTTGATTTTCAGTTATTGAGTTTCTCCTAGTTGGAATTTGTGGAATAGAAATAGAATTTTTGGTTGGTGAGTTATTTATTTATTTATTGAAGAATCATTGATTTATTTCTTGCAGTGGAACTCGTCTCCAGTCGAGAATATTTGAAACTTTGTTCATTGCAGTGTAATTTGTATAAAGGAAAAATGAGTTAAAATGGATTAAAGTTGGCAATAGGAAGTTTGGAGTAACAACTGGGTCCTCGAGCGACCAAATCGGGCACCTAGGTGCTAAGAAATGGATTTTGGGATCAAAACTCAACGCCTGAGCAAACTCAAAGGATTTTGGGATCAAAACTCGACGGATTTAAAATTTTTCGTTTGGGTCCTATATGTATTCTACGAATTGTATGGCTTTCATATGACTTTGTATGAGTTTTAGAAAGTTAGACAATATTGTAAACACAATATTCTTTATGTATTTCTCCATATTAATAAATTCTCAATTACTTTGTCAATTGTTCTTGTATTCTTCTAGTGTTGTGATTGTTACTTTATATTGTGTCATATAATCTCATCCTTAGTTCTTAACATTCTAGGTAGCTCATGAATCTGCATCTTCAAGCTAATTGAACAATGTCTTGATCTTAACAATTAATTTGAACTTACTATATTATTAGGAGTTGTTACATTTTTTATTTTGTATTAAACTACTATAAGTAGTCTGTTTTATAAATAACAGAGTAAAAAAATAAAATATAAACTTAGGAGGGGCTCAGAGTTACCCTCGGCTAAGGTTGAAAAAAATAAAAAATAGACTTTCAATGTCTGGGTAATAGTATAATGTAAAACCTAAAATCATACTTCATTATTTTTTATGTGTTAAAATTTGAGCGTGACCTGAATTCCTTGTTGAAACAATTGAAAAATTCTAATTAAGGTGCAGGTTAAGAGGAATTCAATTTGGAATGCTATTGGAGTTTTATTCAAATTGAAATTCTATTTGGAAGCCCTATTAAGAGTTGAAATTTGTATTGAACTTGAAGATGTTGAAATTATGGACTGACAAGAAAAGCCTCTGCATTTTTGCTAGCCTACTGCTAGCTGGCCGCTCGAGCAATACTTGCAGGTTTTCTCCCGAGACTTGGTAGCTCGCCTTTCGCTCGTCTATCGTCCGCCTGGAGCTCAAGCGACAGACTTTTCGCTAGCTTATCGCTTGAGCGATAGGGTTATCCGGCTAGGCATTTTTTGCGTTTTAACAGGTTTTTTGGCATTCTACTTCTCATATATAATAGGGTTTGGACGTTGTCCTACATAGTTGCCTATTAACAAGTGGTATCATAGCAATCCCGTCGGTCCTTAACATCATGCATAATTAGATCTGAATTGAAATCGTTTCCAGCTGTAATTAATGTGAATTTTCTTTATTAAACAAGATTCTATTAAGGCCTATACTTTTTTGTTTACACTTGGGCTTAGTTTCCCCTCAACAACCAGCTACCGCGTAAATATGTACCAATGCACATCAAATCTGGTATTGGTTTTACAACTGTGACAGCCACTTGGCCTGAACGCGTATACGTGTGTACGAATCATGTGAAGTTTATCCACCTAATGAAGTGATTGAACCTATACCGACGTAGGCAATATTTAACATTATTGTGGGACCTTTTGAAACGGAACCTCAATCCCAATATGCTAAATCTGGTACGGCTCAAACTTTGCCATGTGTGCTTCGAATTGCGATGGCGGAAATAATATGTGGTTGGTTGTCAATGAGGTTATGCCACTCTAAAAGTAACCCTTGATGCAGTGGAAGAATTGGGCCTACTCGACTTTCTAGTTTGAGGAAGAGACAAGGATATACTGCTGCTTGAGGGGCGATGTGGCTTTTTGAATAGGAGATTGCAAACAAAATCCACATGGAATGAACATAGAGTAAATAATAAGTTCATATGGAATTATATGGAAATCATCACATCAAGAAACTAGTTTTTAGGCTCTCAGTTAAACTAAGTCCAATAGTTCATTATGATCACAATAATCAATTGAGCTTCTACATACGGTAGGGAAATGGGATTCAATACCGTAATATATATATAGCCCCTATTTGATTTGGATTAAACTCAAATTAAAATATTAAGTCAAAGTCAAAAATTAATTTTAATCACAAATTTAATGAGACCATAACTTTTCAATCACACATTTCATCAACTTTCATCAAAATTTATCGAAAATCTGATTTTAATTTCTACCAAACATGGGCATAATCTTTGTCTCGACAAGCACATGCCAATTAGTATTTGAGTTTAGGCAGCTAAAATAATAAGAATTATAATAAGTTTATAGTGAAACTTTTTTCTCCATAAACCCTTCTTAGTGACGTGCTTTATTAATAACTATATTGGAATACAATAAAACAAAAATAAACATAAAGCTTGTGCTTTAATTACAGGATTAATTTATTTGTAAATTCCTCGACATCTTGGATGACATCTCCCTATGTGTAGGAAATTTGGCCATTAATTGAAAAGAATATTGTTAAAATCAACGTAGAGAAAGTTGTCAAAATTCACATAATGCCGCCATCTATGATGTCAAATTTGATTTACATCAAGCAAAACTCTTAATTACAAGAAATAATTATGACATTCCACCAGCCACGTAAGCAATTCATGTAAACATAGTTGGAGTTAAACGTGTTTAAAAGGAATAATGTTATTTATAGTAAAGACTACTGATAATCGTCATACGTGACATACATATAACAGTCTCTTATTTGATACATTAGGTAATAAAAAAAACTATCATATTAATGTATCAAATAATAAACGATCAAATGTATACCATGTAGGGTGACTACCGATAATTTTCACTGTTAATAGCGGTACTATTTGAAACAGTTCCAACTACAAAGTATGTGCAAATATTTTTATTATTCCACCACGGTATCAAGCACATCACATGCAATGTTTCCTTCTAACTTCATCAGACGGTCACGATCCAATCCTCCCAAATGATTAAAAATCAACAGCCATTCGATCTGCCCATATCCAACTTTAATCTTGCCTGCTCTTTCTAGTGTTTTAGGCTGCATGTAGTTCCCCACAGTTGTATCTCATGTGACCGACCACTATCTTGTTTGAACTGTCATTGCTCCCACCTTGTCCTCACTTCAAAACCAAATATATAAACTACAAGTTTAAGCAAAAATTATATTGAAAACTCAACAAATTCATTCACTTCAATCCAGAAAAAGTTCAAAAAAGGTCGAAGAAATCATCTGAAAATGGCAAAGGATGGTTTGGGACTCGAAACTGAGCTACGATTGGGCCTTCCCGGTGGTGGTGGTGGTGATGCTAGTGTCTTATTGGAGAAGAATGAGAAGAAAAGGACGTTTTCTGATATTTCTGACGACCGGAGTAACGAGTCGAAGGCGGTGAACAAGAGTCAAGTTGTGGGGTGGCCGCCGGTTTGTTCTTTCCGGCGGAAGAATAGTTTTAAGGGGGATGAGGGATCAAAAATGTACGTGAAAGTTAGCATGGATGGAGCCCCTTTTCTTAGGAAGATTGATTTGGGTACACACAAGAATTATTGGGATCTTGTCTTGGCTCTTGAAAATCTCTTTGGCTCTTTTGGAATAGGTAACTAATTAATTTTCACATTAATGTATTTATTTTTAGTTAAGTTTCTTTTGTGCTAATTTTTGCCATGCAAAATTGCAAAAAATTAGATGTGTAGTCCTTAAACAGGCGAAGTTTGAGTTTTAAATTCAAACAAATTTAAATTTTATTTCCCTCTGGGAAATTTGTACAAATTTAGTTTTATTTATAACTATTCTCCAAATAAATTTATCTCCACTTAAATTACTCAAAAGCTATCAAGAAAATTAAGATTAATCTGTTGCTTGTTATTCGAATTTTGACAGGTGAAGCATTGAAAGATGAAGATAATTCGGATTTTGTTCTCATTTATGTAGATAAAGATGGAGACTGGATGCTCGCGGGAGATGTTCCATGGGAGTAAGTCCCCTTAATTTCTTCTAGTTATAATATTAACTACAATGCGATTTTTTATTTGTTTTGTTACTGTCATGTGATGATCATGTATGATAAAATTGAATTTTGCAATTTAAAAGTTTGCTAGCAAAAATAACTAAGGTGAATTACTATGGTAGAGGCTAGAAGTTATAATGTTGTGACATATCAAATTAATTGATTTTATATTTTTCTTAATTTGCAAAAAAAAAAAAAAAAATCTCAGTTATTTTCGAAACATGAGTAATTCATTGTATATGCTAAGAACATCATTTTTAAATTGCTAGTAAATCTCAAACTTGTTATCGGTAAACAAGTTGATAGTACTTATAGACCGATCTTTGATTCCAAAAAGTCGAATTATTGAAATATGAAGAATCATAATCAAAAAGTAATCAATGAATCTACAATTATTATTTAACAGTCCACCATTCATTTCTATCTATTTATATATTTATATATTACTAGGTGCAAGCAACGTGTAATGCACGTTTGCGTAGTTTATATTTAATAGTTTTGTTTAAGAATTAATTTGTTATTAATAAAGATATAATTTTTTTGATTAATTAAATAATTAATGATGTAATGTTTATGTAATTGATAAATAATTAGATGTGTGATTTTGATGTTGTGATGTAAGTTGGTGAGATCGAAGAAAATAAGCAAAAGTTGACAAATTTGGAGAAATTGCTAAATTGTAAGGGATCCAAAGTTCGGGGACTAAAATGTAAATACTTAAAAGTTGTGCCGAACCTCACGATGAAGATTTGAGAGTGCTCGGAGTCAATTGGATAAAGGAAGACGTCAATGGAATCAAATTTAGTCAAAAGATGATCACAAATCAATTTCCAACCGAAAAGTTATGCTCCGATGTTTTAGTCTCATATTGAGACCTATTTTTGGCATAGGAAGTGATCGAATTGGAGAATGATATCTAAATTAAAGTTGTAGCCAGATGAGTTAGCTTTCCAACGCATTTTGAATCGCCTCAATCGGATATCGGAATACAAAGTTATGATAAAAACACTGAAAGAAGGTGCAGCTGCCTGTTTAAAACAAGAAATTCCGTTACATAATCCGTTAAAACAATAAATTCCGTTAATTTTTCCGTTAAAAACAAGAAATTCCGTTACATAGCCACTTTTAATATATAGAAGATATCATTTATAAAGTTTTTTCCAAACAAAAGAATTTGATTTTTTCCGGGACAATAATGTTTCTTCTCCCAACAATAACTTGACAAGAATTAATCTATCAGTAGTAAATTTTAATATGGACATTATTTATAAAAATATATTGAAGTTGTGCATATACTCTTCACCGACAAACAAGAATTATGTAGATGATGACATTGAATTTGATGAGCTAATGTCCTCTGGAACAATATTAAGTCAAGGCAAACATTATCACATGCAAAGAAATTTTTCTAGGACCATATTCACCTACAATAGATTCTCATAAAGAAATATAAGTATGGAAATTTTTGACATTTTTTACCAACATTGATGTGGCGAATTGTGATTCACCTGTTTGTTTTTTTTTTTTTTTTTGGTCTTTTTTTTTTTCCATCTTGCAATGAATTCATGTCAAGTGTTGTCTATAAACATTCTCTGTCAAAATTGTATGTACTTATACCATGATTGTACAAGTATTTAAGATTATCTTTTATTAGCATGTTAAGTATAATTACATGTAAATGCATATTAAATTGTTTTGTAGTAGTTATTAGGGATGAATAACATGTAAATGCATATTAAATTACTTTTGTAGTTGTTATTAGGGATGAATAGAAAAACCGTCAACCTAACTACATTCCGTCCTCTATCATAAATTGATCCATCTCACTTGCAAGCCCAACCTAGCACTCTTGAATCGAACCTGAACCCAAACCCGAACCAACCCATACGAGCCCAACCCCTCTCTTCAACACCCCTGAACACCGACAATCACCCATGGCTATTCAGGTTTCTATGTAGCTACCGTTTTTGTTATGGTTAAAATTATGAATTTTTTACTTATTCCAATAATTGAGCATTAACTTATAAAGTGAAAAATGACTACTATTTGCAGGATGTTTAGTGAATCATGCAAAAGGCTGAGGATCAAGAAGAGAGCGGATGCAAAGGGTATCGGGCTTCATGCAAAAGATCTTCTCAAGAGAATTTCAGAGGGGGAATGACCTATAATTATTACCAACTCAACGAGTATGAAGGAATTAAATCTGTTGTTTCTTTCAGTTTAGTTGCATAAAAGGGTTGTTTCAAGTCCATTAGGAACTATTCGTACATGAATTATTTATAATTGCATTTGATGACATAACTTTCAGACTCGAGACATTAAAGAGCTAACAGTTATAGTATACGTTCATATGTGCTTATTGTTGAATTGTTTTATTTTGATGGGATGGATATATATTGCGCTTTCCATGTATACAAACGCCATACGGTTTATACATATAATTTGTTGACTTCGAAATATGAATGATTCCACTGTCAACAGATTCTTGTAACCTCTTTGTTCACCTCGTATGTTATCTCCACATTCAGATGCGTTAGGCGCAAAGATCATTGTTTCAAGGAAAAAGATCCAACGACCATTTGTAATCCAATAATCAAGTCAATTGATAATATAAGAAAATATATTCGGAAATTGGATGTGGAAGAGATAAGAAGATAGAGTTGTGGCTAGGGTTTAATATTGCGTACCTTATAATGAGAGAATACACAATAAATATTAGGTTACCTAACCAAAATGGACCGTTGACAAATATGTTCTGATCCATTAGAAAGTCCTAACCAGTTCTAAGCCCAGGACGACCCAATCTGTTTGACATTACCAGTTCATTGAAAATGGTAGCCAAGTAATGTAGGACCTATTCTACCAGTGGAAATTACTCTAGACCAGTTATTTAATTTTAACTATCTAAAAATCAGGTTTTCCCTTTATACACTAAACCAAGTGTTTAGTTTGAACTTTCTAAAAATCAGGTTTTCCCTTTTTTAATTAAATTTTCAGGTTTTATCATCTTAATTAATAATAATATTATAAAATTAAAATAACCTACCTACCCCACCCTACTACCTACCCCACCCAAATTTATTTTAAATATAAAACCCTAATTCTATCAAAACCTAAACTAACCCTCTCCCCATTTCTCTCAACCCACCGCCACCTCATCCCCTCCCTCACCACCGCCGGCCGAAATCGCTGGGACTGCAACCCATCCTTGCTGCTGTGTTACACAGCAGCTAGCCCACTGCACCAGCGTCGCTGCACAGTGACGCCGCTGCTTCATTGCAGCCACGGGCAGCGCTGAAACGCTGCTACCGGCAGAATCTGTTGTGGACGGGCAATTTGTGGTGGTATTGGATTTGGGGTTTTACACTGATTATAGATCTGTGATTCAGTGGTTGGTGATTGTGAATCTATGGTTGGTGGTGGAGGTAGTTTTTGGGGTTTTTTTTGTTGATGGCGGATCTGTTGTTGGTGTCGGATCTCTGTGTGTGTCGGATCTGTTGGTGGTGGTTTGGGCTGATATTGTTGGTGGGTGGATTAGGGTTGG